ACCCTATTCCTGGCAATGGGGCTGAAGGCCCCTCATTCATAGAGCAGCCTAACACCCAGAAGCCAACAGGGTTCTCTGGCTCTACTTTGAAGTGAGCCAACAGTCATAGTAACTCAATCCATCCCATTTACTGCTAACTATCTACTACTTGCCATGCACTGTGCTAAGTGCTTTACATAGAACATTTCATTTAACTCTCATAACTCTCAGGTAGAGTAAGTACAACTACTTCCATTTCATAAAGGAGAATGCAAGGCTCACAAAGTTTAAGTTACTTGCTAAAGGTCAAAGATCAAATTAGTGGCAAGGCCCAAACTCAAATCCAAAGCCTATGCATGCACTTTCTATCACAATGCCAAGTTGATTAACCTCAATCTTGCCATCTGACAAATGATACCATCTATCCTGCCTCCCTTATGAGGCTGTACTGAGGAAAATCCATAAGCCTCCCCAGTCCACCAGTGTACTGACTCAGCCTCAATTCTTTTCTGCATTATCATCTCCTCACCCTTCTGCCATCTATGACCTCAAAAGTGGTGTCAATATTAGATAGAGTGTACCCTCTATTCAACTACCAGTTTTATCTTAAATTCACCACTAGGTGGGGCTAATCTCAACAATCCAGGAAGTTCATGGGCTGGCCCACTAGAAAGAGAAAACAGAGGGGATAGAGTCAAATTGTTTAGAATGAGCAAGAAATAGATAGCGTAGTACTGGCACAAGCTTTCCTACCTTCATGACACTATGGCCCAAGAGCCCATGATCAGAGACTTAAGAAAGAACTTTTCAGTTCAAGGCTTATGGCTCAAAAATACTAAACATCTGCAAACCCACTAGGTACCCCTTCTCCATTTCCTGCCTCTATGAAGTCTGGCTGCTTGAGTTTGTATCAATTTACAGATAAACCAAAACCAAGACACAGAAACTTAGACCCTATCCAATCAAATATTAATTCATCAGTATCAGGCTAATACACAGAGGAAGTTGCTACCTGTTTAATCAAACTTAAAAATAAAATCCATCTGGAACTACATATTCACTGACGCGAGGAAAAAAGAAAGCCACATAACACTGGCCTACGCCCTGCCCACAGGTCTGACAAAATTACTCAGGAGCATCTGCAGCAGATGGACAAAGTGACCTTGATTTTACCTCCTAAAAGTCCAATTTAATCTTGTTGGAATAGCTTAAATTGCATAATCATTTCTAAGCAAGCACTATCTTACACTATTTGGAATTTGGTCCTGTGAATTCTCTGCAGATGAATTAGAATATTCCTGAGATGGATGGAAAGGATATCCATCTCCAGTGAAACTTGTCTTGAGGTTCTGGGGAAATACAGCCTCTCTCTACATTCTAGCTTTAAAAAAAAAAAATTATAAGAATTTATTTGAGCTAAACTGACAACACAGTTTAGCTTGGATCAAGATCTCAAATGCTCTTACATTCCAGCGTTGACTGAGAGAACCTCAGTTGATTTCTACAACTCAAAATACCTTCCCTCTCTCAAACTGCTGCCTAAGTACTTTAATTACTTAGGAGTCTGCCCAAACTATCTCAGTGCCAGTTTACCAATAAGATTATATAACTATGAACTTTGTAAACCCTCTTTCTGAGTAAGGAGTCAAGAACTGAGGCTAGTTTGGGACCACAGGTTTGGAAAACCTCTTTCCTCAAAGAACTGATAAAGCTGTAAAGACTTATAACCCATAATGTCAGATACAAACGAAACCTTAAGAGATCATTTAGTGTCATGGTTCTCAAACTTGTTGACATATTAAAATAATCTGGTGAGCTTTAAAAAAGTGATGCCCCTCAAAAAATAATTTGACAAGAATTGTATATGATACCCAGGCTCTATCTCCAGAGATTGCTTAAAATGGACCCAGATACATTTTCCTCTTTTTAAAATGGGTTCCCTAGGTGGCATTCATGCAGCAGGAGTTAAGAACCATCAAGGTGTGCGCTGGTCCCCTAAGTTCTACCTGGGGAGCTTTTAAAACTAGATTGTTTCCCAGATCCCACCCTCCCTCAAAGGAATTTTTTTAAAGCTTCTCATTAATCGTTGACCAACTAGGCACTTGATTTGCATCTGAGACCTCAACAATGACAAAATACATAATTATTTTAAATAAGGAGGCCAGGAGAGTAGAAGTTACCTGCCAAAGGGTACACTGACTTAAGGCTGTCATTCTCCAGTGTCTCCAGTGCCCAGGATGGAGCAAGTGCTATGAAGAACGTGGGCCCCATATGGCATGCACAACAAACAAGATTTTTACTTTCTCCCTCAAGAGCCACTCTAAGAGTACATGGATATTTAAAAGGAGGCAGCTATCACAACTATAAGGAGAGAAAATTCCAACTAGAAGTCAGGAGCCTGTTATCTATTTTATTCTATTATATCCTCAGAGCCATATTAAGTGCTTTTAAAAATCTATTTTGGAATATACTAAATATGAATGAATAAATGAGTGGCACAGACTTTGGGCTTGGCTGTATGGCACACTCTGGGCAATGGAACATGAGAGATTTTAAATGTGCTTGACCTTGCATTCCCTTTGGCTCACCAGGTTCACCACATTAAAGTTCACTCTTGAGTGGTCTGCTCTCTGAAGCTGCACTCCAAAATAAACATGGAGTCAACTTGACCCAATCTGAAGCCTGGAGGGAAAGACTAACTGACCATGAGAAAAATAAATGCTTATTGTAGTAAGCCACTGAGTGTTAGGGGTTTTGCAATGCAACGTTATTGTAACAATAGCTTATAAAATAGGCTTAAAAAAAAAAGGTGGGGGCACTTTGGAAAAAAATCAAAGTAATATATAAAGTATTTAAACAGCCCTGGAAAGAAAATAATAAGGTGAGGTCTTTTGTTGTTCTATATAGTTAAATCACCATGCTCTGAGTTGGAAGAACTCGGGATAAGGCTTACAGAAAAGAAGGAGAGCTAAATCAGAAAGGTAATTTAAAGCTACTTCCTTCACATATCAATCAGAGATATCCTCACCCTGAAGAGCTCAGCCCTTCCAGAAAGATAAGAGAGTTGCTACTTCTTGATGAAATGCTGTCCCTTCCCCACACTGTTAAATTTCAGCGCAGTGGGACCCAGCGGAGACTAAGTTCCAATCTTTCTCAAGAAGTAGGGTCCTTGTATATCAGAGTTTCTTAGACTCAGCACCCAAATAACCACTAACAACATCAATATGAGAGGAGAAAAAGAAAACGGTCCAAACCTAACAAAGAAAAAGAAATACCTTTATCCATTTATGAAGATAACAATTACAAAACACTATTGCTTTAATGAAAACTTTTCAGGAAAAAAAAGTACTACATTACATGTACACACAAATTTTAAGAGGTATTGATTATAAAATAAAAATGTGAGAAAAAATACACCTTAGAAAAAATATTGTAATTGTTCTTTTCATATAATCCTTTCCTCCTTTTAAAATATACTTCCCAACCAGCATAAAATCCAGCTCTAAGGATGCAACTTTAACAAACTACAAAACCTATTTCTAAGACCCTCAGTAAAACATTGATATTTTAGAAAACCAGTGATGTATTAGCCTAAATACTATAAATTTGGCACAAGCTACGTCTGCTAAGGACTGTTTTAAATAACCCTTTCCCAACTTCTAGGTTGGCAGTCCCTAACCTTTTTGGCACCAGAGACCACTGAACCTATGAGAATCTAATGTCTGAGGATCTGAGGTAGAGCACCACAGACTGGTACAGGTCTGCGGCATGAGGGTTAGGGATCCTGCTCTAGATCACACTCCCTGGGCAGTATCACTCACTAAGCCAAGATAATAGACAAGTCTCTTAAGTCAAACAGAAAACATTATTTAAAAAGAAAACAATGTTAGCTTCCTCCCTTTGCCACCCATGTTCTTCTGATATGTGGAAGTTAAACTGAAAATATTTAATTAGAAAACAATGTTAGCCTCAATCAATTCCCTTGTCACCATTGTTCTTCTGATGCGTGGATAATTCCACGTAACCCATCTTATTTCATTTATTCGTTCTTGGAATCATGTACCCATCCAATGACTAATATTAGAGCCACCTTTTATGTGTCAAACAATGTTCTAGACAAGGAAGCAGCAATAATCAAGATGGACCTATGTGCCACTATACCAAGAACCACAGATACACAGTCCCTGCTCAACAAGGTCTCACAGCACAATCCAGGTACCTCTCCCTGGTGTGGTCATCAAGAATAAGACACATTGGTTAAGAGAGTAAAGCTGAGATCTGCCTCTTCCTAACCCCTTCCTAACCAACCTAGCTTAATTCTAGCATACTATGGAATCAAGCCAAACATGACTCCATGTAGAAAGCTATCAAAATGAGGAACCTTTATCAACCTTATTGGATTAACAGTTCTTTTCTAAGATTTTCATTCAGATCAGTAAGATGTTTTAAAGTAAATGGATCATTCTTGCCACCTAAAGAAAATGTGTCCCAAACTCAGATTCACAGCACAGAATCTGGAATCTGATAGAAATAGTTTGGGTTAATAACACAGGAGCATCGCTGTTGGCTGCGTTTCGGTAATACCAGGTGAGCTTTTTAATATCCCACCGCTCAAGCTGCACGCCAGTAAACAACAAAATTTGAAAACCACTGATACAGAAAACTCAAGAAACTGTCTGCTTTCCAAAAAATCGATGGATAAGAGGTGTGCTTCCTTCCAACACGAGCAGCGAGCTTCCTGAACATTTCTTCACTAAGAACTGTTATGAACCCACTTGGTATAAAAGAAAAGGAGTTTGTAGGCTACCTGCCAAACTCAGGGGAGCAGGCATAAACCTGGAAATATGGAGGGAAAAAAATCTCAAAATGAATGCCAGAAAAGAAATAAAAGCACATGAAAATAATAAAGCTTTAAAATCTTATCTCAAAATTTGTTAGAAATTGATGTTAGTAACAGTCAAGTTCCAACTGCTACGTATCTAAAAAGTAAGAGTCGGGAGGGAAAATAACAACCCCCAGGCTGGCTTGTGAAGGGTTTTTGTTTGTTTAATACATCTGAAAAGAATGCATATACAAAGAATTGAGACATGAGAAAGCATTGGTTCAACACTAATGAATCTACAAGAATTAGGATTTGGGGAAGGTGGAGAAGATTACCTAAACATTTTTAAAAACTGGAAACTGCAACCAAAATAAGCTGATAAAATCCCTATTAACACTTATGAAGAGTCTTCATAAGACTCTCTCCATGATTTCTATTAAACTAGAGAGCCTCACTGGCTGCTCTAGGGTTCCTCATGCAGAACAGAAATAAGGGGATTCCCCTGACTGGTCCCCATGTTGTTAAATGTTCTTCCCACCCCCACCCCACCCCTAGCTTCTTAATGAAGCAGGTCTCCATCCTCACAACTTGAAAGAGGATGTGAATCATTCCACAGACATCTGTCTTCTAGCACCACCCCTCATATATATCAGGTCTTCAGCTGTGTTCTAGGAACACCATATGATACACTATTAAGCTGCACATCTATGCTAAGCATATAAGACAATGACTGACAGGGAAAAAAATGTTTTTTTAATGATGTACTCAATCCATTTGGTGTATTTCAAAAGGTGCAATACTTTTCTTCATTTATCAGTGAAAGAAGTTAGAAATTAACTTCAAAGAAAATCAGCAAATGGCTAACAAATTTCCTTGAAAGTCACAGTCACATATATAGTGCATCCTAGAAAAGAGGAGGGGCAAGACAGGTTCCACCCACTTTCATGAGTTTCATCAAATACTGGACCTACTCAAGGGTGGAGAGAAAAGGCAACTTTCAAAAAGGAGTATGTTATTAAATGAGGCATTTACTATACTCCTTCCTAAGAGCACCAGGTGGGGAACATATTTTCTAAACTAGATCTAGGAAGTGGAATGTGGAATCACTCCATCATTCTCCCCTTAAGGGCTGTCTAATGGTTAATGAATTTTTTTAAAATGACTAAATAAAAACAAACACCACACACACTCCCCCCAATAAAAAGAAAAAAAAAAAAAAAAAAAAAAAAAAAAAAAAAAAAAAAAAACTAAATGTCTCAGATCACTCTCCGGAGTGGAACCCGGGAGCAGCTCAACAACCCAAATTAGTCTGTTACAGAGTCATCACAAGCATGCCTTGCTTTTAAACAAAAAAAACAACAAAAAAATTTTTTTGAAACAACAAAACAAGAACTAGTACTTATCACTTTTCTGACAATACACAATTACTCAAAATTAACTAGTATTGAGACGGGGAAAGGGGCCATACCTATGGGCCTTGTCTCACATGAGTGCATGTGGGTAGGTGCAGGGCATTTGTCATTATTGCAAAAACGAATTTTAATTTTTAATCTTTAGTTTGATTTAAACATTGCTTTTAGTATGATGCCGACATGAGCTGTGCAGAAAGGGCTCTGGAGAGACGTTCATAGCAGCACACACCTGCGGCTCTTCTTCGGTTCTGGAGGCTCCAGGGCAGCCAATATTGCTTCGTCAAATACATTCTTTAGGCCTTTCTGAAAAGGGGTAGAAAGAAAAAAATGGGCGGTCTGATTTTCAGTATAATGAAGTTGAAGGTCAAATTAAAAACATTCAAACCCCCAAGAGTTGGCAAAGAACGAAACATTAAAAACAACCCTGAATCTCAACACAATTGTCTCACTTCACCAAGTTTTTTGTCCAGGAAGGGCCCTGGAAGGATCCAGCAATTCAGGAGCAGAAGAGTATATATTCATCAGTGAGACAGCTGTCCTTAGAAAAAGCTTTCTGCAGACCAATGTATGTCACAAGAAGCAAACAAGCACGTGTCATTTGCTCATTCAAGTTTTGTAATGTGCTGCTGAAACATTTTACATAAAAAATAAGTGAAGCAGCTCTGCACACAAATGAAACAGCTGGATATGGAACAGGACTGAGAGGATGGGCACTGGGCAGCGGCAATCTTATTACATGGAAGGCGCAGGCAAAGATGGAGAAAGCAATTACAGTGGCTGCAATCAAAGATATTCACTCTGCACTCCCTTTATCCCACCAATTAGATAAAGCCAAGGAGACTCAAGGAAGCAAATACATTGGTACCCGATACATACGTAAAACTAGAGCCAGTCAATGCAAGAGGAATAAAGCTTCATCAGGCATTTATACAAACAATTGTATATTTTTAATTTCAAAATTTGAAGTAACCACAATTGTATTTTTCCCTCACAACGATAAAATCAGAAGCAGGAAAATATAAAGGTGGCAGCTTTACATCTCAACATTAACAAACCTTAAGTCAACTGTTAAAATGAATGCTATTCTTAAAAGATAATGTTAAAAATAAGCAATAGCAGATACAGCAATATCTTTCCCACCCCAGACTGACAAATACTCCACCTACAGCACAGACAGCCAAAGCAATAGCAACATAAAGTTTCACTACACAAAAGAAAACCAGAAAAGAATTCTCCCTTCCCCGTTACACTCTACTAGCAGGCCACCCTTTTTCCATAAAGTTTGTCATGCAATTACAATTAACAATTGATCATAAGAGTAAAATGATGTTTGTGTTATTTTCTCCATCTAGAACTAAGATCTAGAAGTGTTAAAACTCTTCTTATTTTCTCCAAGAGGACATTCTTAATGCCAGACCAAGTTCCCTTTTGCAATAGTAATCTAAACCAAAAAGCTCTGAGCATCAGGCAACTCAAGCTGCAGAAAGTAAACAAGTCTAACTTGACTACTGATCACAAAAAATATTCTATAAGATATTGCATTCTTAATCAAAAACTAATACAGAGGTTGCTCTAAGGTGGTGAGTAAAAAGACGCAGAGGCTTTCAAACAGGATGGTTTTATTCCTTTGTTTTTAACCGATCTTTCTACAGTAGTGGGACAGGAAGCAGCAGCAAAGAGGGGAAGGAGAAAACAGTTTAGAATATACAGCACTTCCTTTTGGGTTGAGTTTCCGGAGGCTCGAGGGCAGCTAGGATAGCCTCATCAAACACATTCTTCAGACCTCTCTACAAGACAGAGGGGAGGAGAGAGAATAGCAGCCAGGTTAGAGGATTAGAAAGACTAGCAGATACAATAGCAGTCAGGATTAAATGAGCTGAATTCACTGAAGCAATGTGCCTTAAGAAAAATAATGGCCAGAAAGCAGATCTTAAGACCTTACTGGGGGAGCAGATAACCGAAGAGAAACTTCTTACCTCAAGAAAGGTAAACTGAGCAAGAAAGCAGTTTTATGAAAATGCCATATGTTGACTTCTAAAACAATCACACTTTGAAATGTACTATTACATTTTAATGAAAATGCCAGGAGAGAAAAATGGATATGTAAATACAAGAATAGATGCATTGTACAATTAAGCCTTGTAAATTCCCCAGTTTTTCTCATGCAAAGAATGGCACACAGATTTTGTAATCTATTACAATTTCAAGCTTCTGTGAATTCAGCCCCTGAATAACTGAAGGACACAAATAGCAGACTAACAGGCATGCTACATGTTTCTAGATTCAATGACATATCTGGATGGGATTAATCAGGATTTCAGAGTAAACCAGTTTCCCAGAACAAAAAGGTTCAGATATTTAGAAAGAGCGTTAATTGTTCAACAGTACCAACTGGGAATAGTTTAAAGAACAGACTCTAGAAACAGCATACACTTCAGTTATTCAGTAATGTTAACAGAGCAAGTAACTACCACCCAAGTCATAGAAAACAAAGAATGGGGTCCTAGAATGAGTTTTAGCAAGCAGTCCAATGCTTTAAGGTATCCGCATGGGTATCAGAGCATAAAAGCATGAAGTGAAAACGAAGAATATTCTCAGATCTACAGGAATTAAGATGCAGAAATACACTTACACCTCAGCCAGAACTCCAATGTGACAGTGTGACTCAGTAGTACTGGTATGTTGGGCCCAGGTCTATAAACTCATCTAAACTCATTTAAATCTGAAACCACAGGTTTACCACCCAAAGAAGTTTCACATGTTCTTTAGGTCAGTTTGTCCCCAAATAAAAATTTCCCAAAAGTCCCAGAACATAGCTTCAGTAACAAGTGCAACCCCACACTACCCCCATCCTACTCCCACCATGGCATCCCAAAAGATTGGCACCTACACATTCTATTAGGTACAAAATAAATGAGAAATAACAATAAGTATTTAAAAAGAAGCAGAGGTTAAGTTTTCTTTTTTCCAAGTAATTTACAAAGTAGAAATGCTAAACAAAAGTTAAAGTTCTCTGAAATTCTTTCTCAACATCTAGGAGCAAATGTTGATAGTCAAATATAAAGAGAAGAAAGAATGAAAGGGAAATATACTTTATAAGGGGAAAAAAGTAGAGGACCACTATTAAAACTAGGGCATTCTTTAACAAGAAGCAAATCTTTCCTTGCTTATTGACAAAGATCAACTAATCCCCTACGAAACAAAACTAATCTTTGCTTTACCCACACTATCTGATTACGCAGAGTTCAGTTTTAGAGGAACCAACGAACAGAATCTGGAGTCCTAAGAGTTCTAGTTCCCAAAAATGAACAGAAATCCCATTTTCTATCTTCACCTGTTTTGACTTCTCCAAACTTCAAACTCTGGTAAGAAAATATAGCTGCTAAGACCTTTTCAAATTCCTATTCTCTGCAAAGTGACTTACTATATAAATCTGTTCATACTGTAAAAAAAAATCTTATATGGAAGCATCCAATTCTCTAAAATAATTTTTATCAGTGACCTAAAATTGGGTCCTGATGGCCTACTTGCCTCCATTTATCCCCAAAGCAACTCATATTTAGAGGAAAGGGGTATGCAACAGATGCATATAGTTACAATTTGACACACACGTTCCACACACAACCTTCCCCCCACCCCAACATACACACAAACATTTTTCTGAGAATGGTACAAAACACAAAAGCATCAGGCATTTTTTAAAAAATCTCAATCAGTACTGTACGTGAGAAGATGTAAACTGTTCTTTAGTTTTAAATATATGCTTTTACAATAGAACTAAAAACTGCTAAACTGGGTTTGGAAGAATGTTAGGCCTTGAAATTATCCTGTACAATATCCAAATAAGAAGAAAATGTTACCTTTAAATATCCAACCTAGCATTAGAGATTATTAAATTACGTCTAGGCTCTACATACTAAATACCTAGTACATGCATAATATGTAATTACATATGCCATTTACCTCAGTATATATATAAAATCAAGATTAATGTAATTTTTTAAAAAAAGAAACACTCTTCCTTCAAACCTGCTCTATTTTAATTAGGCATGCTTGTTCATTGTCGAAATGTCACTGCACCAATGCCAGTGAAATAAAAGTTCTATGCTAATTATTTCCATAATTTTTTCCTCTGCCCCCAGAACAGAGACTCAAAACAGGAGAAATGATCAGCAATAACCATGAAGGTGGAGAAGATGAAATCACACAGGTCAGTTATAACTCTCACTCTAAATACTCTTAACATTGCTCCCTGTCCTCAGAATCTGATGTTTCCCATCAAGCTTATGAGAAGAGTTCCAATTAAATCATTCAGAAAGACAAAAGAGAGGACCACATGAGGAAAGAATGCCTCCAAAAACATAAGAATAAAGACACTATATAAGCACACTTGAGAAATAGCTAAAGCAATTTCTTTCTCTGACACAAGTCTCTATTATGATTAATTCTCTATCCCAGTTAAATTACCCCAGAAACAGTATAGCATCAATTATCAATTGCCAGAATTGACAAAAAAAGATCAGATCTATTTAGATGAAAATTTAAGTGGGAGGTGGGGGATCATGCAAATACTTGCTTGTAAATTTGTGCTAATCTGGACCTTTCCTGTAAAAAAAAAAATCAGTACCTGACTACTACAAATAACTAAGTACAACATTGGGAAGCTCACCAATACAAGAGCTTAACTTAGAGAATAATGATTTTCTCTATAAACACAGACCTCTAGCAAAAGAACACACACTACGAAGCTGGTACTAGTCTTCCTAGAAGCTTTCTTGAGCATTGCAGACCACTGTTAGACATAATCCTGAATCCTAATGTTCACAGAAAGTATTCAACTGTAAACAGACATGGGGTTCCGCACAGTCCTCACCTGTGTGAGTGCAGAACACTCCACATACTTGACAGCCTTCAGGTCACGGGCCAACTTTTCAGCCGTCTCTGGAGTGATAGGCTTCTGTTTGTTCTTGGCAAGTTTCTCAATAGTAGAAGGGTCATCTCTGAGATCAATTTGGGTCCCAACAAGCAAGAAAGGAGTCTTTGGACAGTGGTGAGTTATCTCAGGCACCCACTAGAGAAAAGTATTTTAAAAAATACACCTCTGTTAATCCAAAAGCCTCTAAAGCTATTAAGAAGTCAGTAGAAGTTCTGACAACCTTTTTCAGGGCGAGAATATCTAGCCAACTCACCTTTTCTTTCACATTTTCAAATGAGGATGGAGAGACCACTGAAAAACAGACTAGAAATACATCTGTTTGTGGGTAGCTCAGCGGTCGTAATCTGTCATAATCCTCTTGCCCTAGTGGAAAAAAATTAGAGAAATCAGCTAAATCATGAGGTCCTCACAGCATTAAAATCACAAGTCAGTCAACGGATTAAGCATGCAGCTAACAGCACAGTGATCATTAACAAGAAAGCAACTTACTTATCTAATAAAATGTATGGCTTTATAGCATCCTATTTGAGAATATTATCACTTGGCAAATTCTATTTAATATTTCAAGTCCTTAGGACAGCAGTGAATTTGTTATATATTCATTATAATGTGATCATTACCAGCTTATAGTTTTCAATCTTTGTGTCTATTAGCAACTCAACCATAAAGTAATGAACACAATAAACTGGTGCTACAGAAATGGTTAAAAATCAATCCTACTCAGATTTGGTTAAGAAATAATCACAGTGAAACCATCTAAGGAAACAAAGATCTCAGGGAAACCCAGCTGACAAAAATCCACTGCTCATTCATGACTCCAAAGCAGGTTCACATGTTTAGTTAAGACCAGTCAGTATCGGAAACCAAGAATTCCCAGAAAAAAACAATTCGGCAAGAATCAATGGGTGCTAAATCTTTGGGGGAAAATTCTGATGAAAAGAATATCTGAAAGGTCTAAAAGATTATCTAAAAATCACAAGGGAAAAACATAATTATATTGTGAAGAAACAGGACATTACTTTGAGTGATCAAAATTACCATCACCATGAATGACTGGAGTATCACGTGCCTCTAGATTTTTATCCTAAGAAAGACACATCACTATTGCAGTATTCCAACCAAATAACCTGAATCTAATCATGAGGAAACAGAGACCAAACCCAAAATAAGGAACATTTTATAAGGGGGAGGAGAAAGGATGAATCCATATTCTACAAAAATGATGTCATTGAAAGACCAAAAAAAAAAGGCTGAAGAATGAATTCAATTAAGAGACTAAAGAGATATGACAACTAAATGCAATAGACGGCCCTGTACAGAAAGCAGAAAAAAACTGGACCTAGATCAATTGACAAAACTGGAATATAGATGAAAGATTAAAGTACTATATCAATGTTAAATTTCCTGACTATAGTTACACAATAATATCCATATTCTTAGGAAATACATACTTATTCAAGGCTAAACAGCTATGACGTATGCAACTTACTCTCAAATAGTTCAAGAGAAAAATTAATGTACATGTATGTTTAAAGAAAGTAATAACGCAAATAGAGCACAATGTTAATAATTAGTAATCTGGTTAAAGGGTATATGGGGGTTCCTGGTACTAGTCTTGCAACTGTCTTGCAAGCTTAAAATTATTTTCAGATAAAAAGTTTTTTAAAATAGCCATACATATTTCCAAAACTGGGAGAAGAGGGGAGTTGCAAGGGAAGGATTTAACACTTCAATTCAAAACAACTATAACAATCTTATGTACTTAAAAACAAAAAAAAGTTAAGTATGTATTGCCACTGAACTGTACACTTAAAAATGGTCAAAATGGTAAATTTTATGTTACATATGTTTTATCCCAATAAATTTTTTTTAATGAGGAAATAGTAAAGTTAAATATTTTGTATACCAATGAAAAAAATTTTTTTGGCCACTACTGAGAGAGAATATAAGAATTTAGAGTAGCTATTGAAACGTGTAATTAAAGCTGTTACTATTATTGCCAGTTAAATAATATATCAAAGTAGACAGCAAAGGTATCTTCAGGACAATACAGAAATTAAAAGTTTAAGGAGAAGGCAAAATAAAGGAGGTTATAAAACAATAAAATCACCATCTGCACCTCTAACATTCACTGAATACTTACTACAACAATATGCTACAGTTAATCAAAAGAATTCAAAGGTATGCACTTAGATGTCTAACTTTCACTTCCTATATTATAATGTAAAATTACATATGTGGAAGGGATTAAAATGGGCTTAAAGAAAACAAAATAAAATCAGCTCTAACTGAGCTCTAACACTAGCTGGAGCTTTGAAGTATTACATATCTAAGCTCCAATAAAACAACAAAAAATATTTTAAAAATAAGACAAAACAGTTAACAGAGCCTTGTAAAAAAGAGATACAGCTGTTCATATAGCTTCTATTAGCCCTTTTCCCTATTCAAATGGAATATATTTCAAAAAATTAAGTCTGGCATAGACTAGAAAAGACTTCATTTTTAGTCATTCGGCCCCTGCAAGCAGTATAAGTGAACATCAAAACAGATCCAAGTCTATATTTCTGAGCACCACTAAGAGCATCTAAATGAATGTCCAATCTTTTATCTGCAACTAACCTTCTATTCAGATGGATCGGTGACAGAAAACAAATATAGCCATTATTTTTTAATACTAGGTCCAAAGCAGTATTAGTCTGTCCATTTATTCGTGATGAACAAGTCTATAATATCAATCTTTCTTTCCCAGAAGAGAAAAAAAAATCTGAAGATTGTGTAAACGAAAACAGGCTACCTTACCTCTACTTCTGCTACAAAGTCTACATTAAAGGAAATAGAATAAATACAGTCCCTGAGATGAGCAAGATTCTTCAATATCCAAGCATAATTTATCTAGCTAAAATTTATCTTCTGAGTATGTCACAAATGGCCATTATTCATTCAAGACAGAAGCAGTGCTATCATTTAGCATCCTTTAAGGTATATAGTATGATCAACAAAATTTCACTCTACTGTGTAAACAGGTTTGGACACAGTCTTAAATTATACCAACTCTAACAGCACACCAGCTCACTGCTTAACATTGTACGCATGTCAAAAAGCAAGACTACATCTCATGGGTTGCTGATCTTTTCTTTGGTTAGAACCTCATATTTAAAATTCAAATTCAAGCGAAATTAAGTCAGGTTGAACTGAGGACTCTAGTCCATATGAAAAATATGAAAGGATTTCATATAAAAAATGAGAATATTGCCAAAAAGCAACATTTTTAGAGAATTCTAGTAGGACATGATAAACACAAGAAGAAAGCAAATAAATACTTTGTAGTATTTACCACTACAGGTTAAAACCTAAACATTTTTTCTCAACCAATTACTCAGCATTTAATGGCACTTAGTGGTCTGCTTCATCTCTGCCATGGAGCTTACTCCTAAATCATCTCATAACACCTTTTAGGCTTATGGGGAAAAAATCCAAAAATAAATAGGGACGCTATGGACCCTGACATTCCTACCTTTTTATGTATAACATCTGCAAAAATCCAGACTATTATATGTTAGTGCAGAATTTACTGAAGTCTCAAATCTTAGTCAAAACACCCCTCTGGAAGATTCTATAATAACGCTAAACCAGAGACCAAGGCTATAATGAGTATCTCTATGGAGAGCACTGTTGTTCTCACTAACATAATTAAACAATTGCATAAAATGGCCAGATACTAGAAAACCTCAATGAAAGAAGAGTTTATTGTTTAAAAACAAAACAAACAAAAATCAGCTAAACTAGGTCAAACTACACCACTATGACCTGTTCTGAACATTATCAATACGCTAATGAGAAGAATATTAGCTGTGTCCAAAAAACATTCCAGTCACTATGCAGTTTTTTTAATGTAAAGTGTATGAATCATAAATACACAGCTCCTGAGTTTTTAAATATATATACACTTTTAAATTTTGATTATTTATCATTCAACCTTCACAGCATCTCTGAGTATTTTAAACATTTTACATTTCAAGGTATTAAGCTCCACACAGTTCAGTAACTTGCCAGCTCTCTAGCTAACTGGTCTGTATAGTGTTAAAGACCAAGCTTTCTCTTTTCTTTTACCATAACACCTGAAATGACAGAGATTGTGGTTACATTAAAATTCAAAAAATATCTTCCAAAAGCTGAACCTAAGAAAACAAGAGTATATGTAAATAAAAATGAGTATAGAGAAAAATCAAAAATTTAATGTAAATATAAACAAATGAACCAACTATATTCCCAATAACATAGCCACACTGAATGGGGAGGGGAAGACAAGTCCAAGGAACAAAGAACTTTGTGTGCTATTAAACTAATGAAAAAAGAATTGCAAACAAATCTTGAACTCTTATTTGTTTATCATAGTGGTATGGTATAGCAATTCTGAAACTATTTTATGTGTATGGTAGGACTGAAAATGAGTAGATGTATTGATCTTTTTGGGAACCAAGCTTCTAAGTATAGAAGAAAAAGTGATGAAAATATGATATTTGTGAAAGTAAAGGCAACTGACTCCTGGAGTTGGACTGAACTGGAGCTATCAACAAAAAGTCATTATCCAGATTAAATATGCTAATGTTATTTTCTTCCTTAGTGGATTGATGATAATTCAGGACAAGTCACTATGATGTAGAAATTAAATCAGGATAAAAAGTGACAAAAAATGTGTGTGAAAATATTAAAATGTTTGTACAGGAAAAGGTCTTAATAATATAAAAGAAAACTGCAAAATGGAGCACAAATGTTAACAAAAGAAGTTTAATTATGGTGCGATCGGCCACATAACAGACTACCATGCAACCATGAAGACAACATACATCACTGACAGAGGCAACCATATTTTTTAAAGAGAAAAAGGAAGGTACAGAAAGGAGAAAAAAATAATATCCTTTTTTTTTTCTCCTATGTATAAATACAATGAACGTAAAGGAAGAGCTCTGTTTAGGACATATACTAAGACATGATTGTCCCTGGATATAAATGCTTTTTTCACTTTCTCCTTCTGCTTATCTATATTTTATTTTTTCCTATAATAAGCAAAATCTGCATCTTTGCAATGAAGAATAACATTTAAAATTCTGACATAAAAAGGAATTGGTGGTAGTAGGGTAATGATTATACAATACAGGAAAGAGCCTATGATAAGCATGTTAAGCTAAACAGAGAATTATACAGACAGCAGTAAAACATAAGCAGAAAAAAAAGAACAAAGTAACTCTGGGGACTCATAGCAAGAATTTAGTGTTGTTACTAGAGAGGTAGAAATAAAGCCATGAGACAGAAGGAGTGCCCTATCTCTGATCTTAAATATTATTTAAATATAACTGTTAGAGTTGCAGCCAGAGGTGGTATAGGAAGACTATAAAAAGAATTCGGAACAAAATGACATGGTCAACAGATTAAATGCAACCAATTAAAGGAAAGTCAGAGGCCATCTCAGTGGGGATGAAAGCTTTAGTGGAAAGAAAACTGAGTTAACAGTATAACTTAAACCACGGAGCGGGACTCTAAGATTATGGGCTTTGGAGAAGGAAGTGGAGTTGCCTCAAGTGTATCAAAGACAGGAGGCTCATCCTGGATACCTGATCTCCAGTGTCGGTCAAAAAAGTTCTCTGACTTATAATGACCTCAACCACTTGAGATAGAAACCCCCCCAATTTGCCTGGGATGGTAAAATTGTTTAATGAATGTCTTTTAACTCCCAGAAAGATTCAGAATCTAACACAGAGATGGAATAAAACAAATATTATTGTCAATTTTAAGTAACGTTTAGGAATAACCTATCCTTATTTAAGTGTCTATAATATTTAAAATAATGTCATATTAAAAAATATGATAGATCAGTTTTCTGATTCCAATTTAAAATGTGTAATTCAGTAACTGATCTTAAACTTGTGGTTTTTTAACCGAAAATGTTAAGAAATATGAAGTATATAAATAATACTGTTTAAGATAAATTAAAACACAGGAAATCAAAAGTTATCAGGTTTATTAAAGTATGTATATAAAAACTTGAGACTGTTTTACTTGTCAAGTCAGGCAAACTGAGCTGCTTAAAATAGAAAATTGAATACATTAAATTTATAAATGCAGTTTAATATGCTGGAAAAAATTTAACACAGTTGTAAATTAGGCTGATTGGGATTAAAATCTTGCCAGCCTAAGTTAAATAAACCAGTATTAATCAAAGGACACTGGCCACCTTGAGAATGATTTGTTAAAACTATTTTAATAAAAATTTTAATAAGTTGTGCAAATAAATTTAAAGGCTTACCTACTCCAAGCTACTTATGGAAGAGAAATAAAATACGTCCATACAAAGACTTGTATACAAATACTCACAGCATCATTAATAGCTTAAAATTGGATCTCAAATATCTATCAACTCATAAATGGATAAATTATGTTATATATACAGAGAATTAAATACTACTAGCAATAAAAACAAACAACTGATACACACAACAGAGATAAATCTCATGCTAAATAAAAGAAATCAAACACTAAAGACTATACATATTGTATAATTCCATGTATATGAAATTCTAGAAAAGCAAAAGTGGAGTGACAAAAAGCAGATCTGTGATTTCCTGGGGCCAGGTGAAGGGAAGGGACTGTAAAGGGCACAGAAACTTTTTAAGTATCTTGATTATGGTGGAGGTTACATGATGATATAGTCAGCAAAATTAATCAAAAGGAAAACTTAAAATACGTAAATTCTATTGTATTATGTACTTCAATATATAGACATAAAAATAAGCTGTGAAATTTGGAAATAAAATTTAAAACTAATTTTCAACCCCAAGTAGCCATAATTGTCTTTTCTCTGCTTACAAACTGCTTCCACGGGCATATATAAAACAGAAAAATCCCTCACCTATCACAATACAGGCAGGTCATTATTTCATTTTCTCTATTTTCCAAGTTTCTAATATACCATTACTCTTATTTTTAATTCATAAAAATTTTAAAGGCCTAAGACACCATTAGAAAGCCACTGATCTCTTAACTGTTTACTATTATCTCTCCATTTCACCCTCCCAACTGAATCCAGACAGTTCCCCAAAGTGGGCAGTATAATAAATTCCATTAATGCAATGTCAACTGGCAGACAATGAGAGAGTAACTCAAAAAGTGAAAAGTTTTAGAATTCCTGCAAAGTAAAAGGATAACTTTCTGAAAATTTCCTTTTGCTAACTGAGCTACAAATAACACAGATGACAGGTCAGAAATTAAGATGTACAGCCACTGTTAAAACAAGAAGAAATAACACTGAGGAATTCAGTATACTGAAGAAAGTTGTTCCTTTCATTTGAAAAGCTGACCACAAATGTCAATAATTATGAGCTAGATATTGGTTCACTCTCAAAATACTTTCAAATGTAGTATAAAATAATAAGCTTTATATCATAAGAAGCTATCAGTACATATATTATACAAAGACACATATTAAATAGCCTTCAAATTTCAGGGAGTGATAATACAGCTTGTCTAATATACTCTGCTCTCACCCAACTTTATTTCCTTCCACACCATCCACACAGAGTACTCCAAACTCCTATTTGACATTCCAGGTCTGGGACTGCCTCTTGGTCAAACATCAATCATCATGATAGTCAATCCTTCCAACTATTATTAAAAGGCAAGTTGTTTGCTAAAAAGCTAGTTTCGCAAAATTTTCCAAAAAAGACAAACCACCAGCAACTATCATAGTTATAGACCAAAACATTATAAAAGATATCAAGTTTTCACCTGCAGTATCAAAAAGTCCAAGAGTATATGGCTCTCCACCAATCATAACTGTGACTGCATAGTTGTCAAAAACCTAAAAACACAAAAATACAACACTGTTAGTATGCAAGAGGATGGTCAAAATGGGATAGAACAACGCTTATGCTAAGGCGATATTTCCTTCCAAAGACTCAGTCCTCTCTTAGTCCATCTTCCTTATCTAACCAACCTTGCATGAGCTAAATGCTTCTTGGAAAAAGTGACAGGGGACATTTTCTGGAGTGTCTGCTCTACCCCAGCGGCCTCAATAAAAAGCCACAGAAGACTGAGCGGTATCCCAGGAGCAGAATCCCTAGCTATAAAAAAAATCCTGTTCAAGTTTGAAATTTTTGAGACAGTAAAGTTTACCTCAATGTTCAATCTGATTTCTAAGAAATTATTTATTTCCTCACAGACCATTTCCTTTTAATCTAGAATTAAAATCTCCTAGATCCCGGAAAATCTTTTCTCCTTCATGGTTTAAAACAAGAAGAGGGTACCAACACACCCATTAGAGAGAAACAAAGGTTCTATCAAGGTACTCAAGGAAAGTGTCCAAGAAAAGGCTAGCAGATTATTTGTTATTATTTCATGAATAAAACTCATGCTACTGGGTACAAACTACATAACCTAAGGTACCTTCTTTGACTAGATGCTTTATTTGTAAACAGACTATAAAACCCATGACAAACACAACAGATACTAATATTGGTCGTACTAAGTTATTTGTGAAAATGGAAGGTAATGGTACGAGATGAAAAAAGACCCAACACTAATTCATAGATGCTTCTGAATTAATTTACAATTGAAAAGCAATGATTTCCAACTAGGAGAAGGATATATTTTAACCTTTTAGCTATCTAACACTAATTTTCTGGTTCATGTTTTAATGGGTTAGTAGCTTGTTTAAATGTAAACAAGAAGGGAAGCAAGGGCATGTGAAAGGTGGCAGTTAAAGGAAAGACAGTTCTTGATGACAAGAACAAGTAAATGTAATGAATGCGGTTAAGCTCTCAAACCATATAGGTTATTTTCTTAAGTCATACTTAACTCTTTTGTAGAGAACCACATACAAACACATATTTAAAACACCCATGAGCCCACCTTAAACAGAACACCTAATAACAAGTCATTAAACAGACTCAGAAATGTTTATAGAAAATAATTTTAATGGAGACTGAAACACAAAAATTTTGATAGTTGCCCTTACTGTGAAATAAGATATATATATCTCTAAAAGTCTCCTGAAAATTCCTTCACATCCTCAGAACTTCTTTCATTTACAGTGGGCCAATACAAAAATATGATTTTGTATTTAATTATTCCTCCAAATTCTCCCCCTCAAAGAAACCTAATCTTTCTTCCTACAGCCTTAGCCTACCTCAATCATTTTACCTGCCTTGGGACATTACAGACTATCAATTCCAATTAAACATAACTACCAAGCCTTTAACAATTCACCCTCCTAATAATGTTCATGTATCTGAAGATTAACCTAAAGTACATTTTCTTCCTTTTTACTTACAAACAATACTAATCCCATATTAATCTACATAGATGCTTTTTGCCCCTAAAATAGCTCGCTTAACAGAGATGACTGTTGCCAAGCCAGGCCAACACTACTCCCCTCCCACCACTGAATGGACATCTATGTTTAACATAATTACACCACTGAGTTGGTCAAACAACCCGGGACAAACACTGGATCCCCAAACTCACTCTTTCACGAGTGACTGTTACTCTGAATAACTCTGTCTCTCTTTCACTTCATTAAATTTGTTACTCCTATTTTTCCCTTTACTTTTCCAAGGAGGTATTAAGATTTGTGGGAAAAAAAATCCCCAAAGCTTCTGTTGGTGTTCTCATAACAAATGCAGGTCTTCTCTGCCCCTAAAAACCAGTTTGGAGCTTCACTACTGCTAAGAGCAGCTCCTGAAGATTCTCTTCTACTATTCTCTTTTAAGGAGAATAAGTACAGACATACTACTTTCTCAGAAGTTACCAGACCCCCAAAAGCATCCTAGAGGACCTCTAAGCACTCATTAATCAAAAAAAAAAAGTCACCTCATTCCAAGATGTAGAGCATACTTCTCCAAACTGAGACCACCACTCTTTAGAATCTTGTCTATTGGAGTTTTGCCTCCCAGCACTTCTTGCAAACCCTTGTGTCACCCCTTCTGACTTTCCACTGATTTTTCAGCTGTTTAATTTTAAAGTGTATATAATTTACCCATGAGAAGTCAAGATCTTTAAAAACAGGAAACAAAGGCAGACAACAGAAAAATTTCAGTACAGAGAGTTTTCAAAAAGGTATCAAATTATAATACATTTCACTACCAGATAAATGCTTTTATACTTACAGTTGGTACATACTCAGATGGAAATTTGTTTGTTGTATAGGATATCAGGAGACATGTTTTACCAACGGCACCATCGCCTACGACAACGCACTTAATTGTCTGCATTGCTGAAACAGTTTTCTATCCACTTTAAATATTTCAAATCCGATGATGACCTACAAAGAGAATTAAAATCGTTTATTTATTTGTACTTATATATGTATTTTTTTCTTCACCTAACAATAGGTTCACTCTTTCAGAGTAAGAACAGAACTAGCACCCCATTATTATGGCTGAAAGAACCTAAAAAGGGAAATAGTGACTTGCTCAAAGTCACAATAATAAATAAAAGTTTCTGATCCCTGGTTTTTTGACTTTGTTGGTTTTTAAAAAGTCCACAGTGATGTAAAAAGCAGCATGATTTCTTATTATAATGAAAAAGAAGAGGCTGTTTCAGAATGAATCCCATGTACTATGCCAAGTATTGTTTTGTGACACTTCTCCTTAAGTTGTATGTGTACACGCATGCATGTGTGTATGTGTACCAGACTGCAATAAAAGCCACTGTTTTAAAGAATGGTTCATATATCCAACCCTAGAGCTATAGTTACTCAGATTATAACAATGAGCAGCAGAGCACCACCACTTCCCTGCCCCATAACAGATGAGCAACATAAGGAACTGGACAAAGATGAGGGTGATCCATCATCTCACCAGCTGTTTTAGCACCAGGCTTCCTAGTTACTAATTCAATATTCATGGCATGAAGAGGCCAAAACCTGTATTTTCATAATGCAAAAGATTAAAGCATACTGACATAAAAAGATACAATTATTTTAGCTTCTCTTACTACAGTCCTCCATTCTAAGAAGCTAACAATTACAAATGCACCAAAGATTTATTATATTTCATCAATCCTAAGATGCTTGTTTTCACATTTAAACAACTCTGCAATAAGAACATGTCTTTACTGAAGGTTCCCTACAATCATTACCAGTCATTCTTTTCCACACATTTTGATATCTACAAAGTTGGGACAAATGACATCTTAGAGTCAATGAAAATTTTTAAGTTTTTTCAGAAGAATAAAAAAAAAAAAAAACACAACCCCCTGTGTACCTATATTTTAAAATTAAGCCCTATTTTGATTATATTCCTGAAGGGGTTACAATTTCTTGTTGGCTAGAGCTGCCACCTTATTAAACATAAAAATGTCATAGAACCACCAATTCTAGATTAGATGTCATGCCTATAAGCTCCTACAATACCTCTCACAACTCTTAATCACGATTTATAAATGCCTGTTAACGTCTATGTGTATACATCAGGAGTGAGTAACCCACAGGAAATGCACACTCACCCTTTCCTCATCAAAACCATCTGTTTTTCTTTATTTAACCTCTTTTTATCCTTTTCCTTCTCTTTCCCCTCTAATCCACTAGAGAAGCACTCATACTAATATAACATTAAAGGTTAAAGATCTTGATCCCTAACTAATCAAACACATTGAGTATTAAATTAATTCTAGAGAACTGCTCTAGAAGAATGTCTTTTACTTAATAATAAAGACCAAAAAAACAAAAACAAAAAAAACCCCAAGGTCTTCTATAGAATTTCTTTTCAATTGAGAGTGAAGAAAAGCAGAGACAGTTCTGATCATCCTGCAGAATATTTTCCAGAGGACTACAAATCTATTTCGGGTTCAGTTCTTGTACTTTCTATTTCTCCTGACCATTAGTATGAGGTAATTTTTTACATAGAGTTTAATCATAAACACTGAATAGAAAGTAATGTTTGATCACAGTAGCAGAGACTGCTAGCTGTCTGCCAACACTTCCTCTCTTCTTTAGTAACAGAATTTTTACCTAAGCATATATCACCTAGTAAAGACTACATTTTCTAAATTCCTTTGTAGCTAGATGTGACCATTGAGACTAAGTTTTAGCAAATGGGAGTGGACTAGCCTTAAAAACAAGGGGTAGTGTCTCCCCTATTCTAGCCTTTAGGCTGGGATGCAGACATGATGATGGAAGCTGAAGCAGTTATACTGAACCACAGACAGAAATTACATGTTAAGGATGAGTAATACAATAGGAGGGGCCAGCCCTGAAGAAACTCCCAGGACTTTTACATAAGAAATAAACTTCTCTCTCATTAACCCCTAGTATTTTGGATTTCTTTGTTACAGCAGCATAACTGAAATCCTAATTACTGTATTTCATAGACTCTAAGAAAACAATGATTTTAAAATATATCCTAAATTCAGAGGTGTTTAATGTGGGTGAAAATATTTTAGAATCAATGTAATTATAGCAATATTCGGATTTATCAAGTAACTTTACAGTAAATTTGACCACTTTTGAGACTGTCTCAAAAACATCTGAGATAAATGCTGTTTTTGAGTTTTAATTGTGGTTTAAGTCAAATTATTGTCATACCTAAATATAAAGTTCCTTATCTTCATTCTGTATCTAGGACTTATAACCCATACTAATAAGCAAAAACAAGATCAACAGGCTGTTTATAAACTTCAAACTTCTAGTGAAAGAAGAGCTAATCTTTCTTGAAATTTCCATTAAAATTTCCTAGGGAATAAGAAATTGAGAACAAAAAGCTTCCATGAATAGGACTGCCTATTCATGGCTAAATCACAATCTTCCACAAGCTGTGATGGAGAAGGTCAGAGCTCATTTAAAATATTACCAAAGAGTCTACGGCCATGCCACCCTTAACAGGCCCAATCCTTTCTGATCTCAGAAGCTAAGCAGGGTCAGGCCTGGTTAGTACTTGGATGGGAGACCACCTAGGAAGCCCGGATGCTGTAGGTGTAAAATAATAATAACAATAACAAATAAATAAAATAAAATATTCCAAAAGAAAACTATCATTAATAACTGTATTAAAGAATTTACATCTGATTCAAGCTGAATTCCTTTTATATTATAGATATATTTGGAAATGCCATCAAAATGAACTGTCTCAAGGAGCCCATTCACAAACAGCAGATTTAGAATATAGTACTGCTTTTTGTGTGTAGTGGAAACCTGAAATGCAGTACCTCTCTATCTCTGATACCAACAAGACAATGTTAAAATGAGATCATTCTGGCCACCAGGAAACTTTCAACACTTTCAACAGGGATACAACACAATCTGTGGTAGAAGAAATCTATGATGCAAGTTTAGAGACAAAGGTAACAGTATTTCCAATTAGCGCATCAGTTTTGAAAGTGTAATTTTAAAAAGTATTTCTGCATTCTTAAGCACAAATTCATTATAACTAAATGTCAATTTTTCTAAGGAAGATCTTTAAGATTTTCCAGTGGAAGGTAATAGGTAAACAGAAGTTGTATAAGAGAAATATGCTCTGCATACAGTTTAGATAGATCACTAAACAAACAATATTATTTTGAGAACTTTTATAAGTCTCTATCTTTTCTGACTAGGAAAAACAGCCCTAAGCCAATTGGGTCTTTCTTGCGTGTCTGCCTAATAAGCTGGAAAGAATATCCAAAACACATAAACTTAATACATAAAGTAATAATTTTCCTAACCTGAAGTCAGAAAAGTCTGGGTTTTAATCTCTGCTCAGAGCTTACTAGTGACCTAATCAAGTTTCTTAATTGCTTTTGTCTCCATTGTCTCATTTGTAAAACAGAATTAATTATGTCAAAACCTCGCACAGTTATTATAAAGATTAAATAATATGAAAAGAGCTGGCTCGTAGCATGTACTCAATACACATGACTCCCTCTACCAAATGTCCAACTAAATTGATCCCATCACATCTATTTTAATGCAGTGGGTCAAAATTTACATGGTACTTTCTTCTTTCTTTTCATGTTTTGCACACAGCAGGCACACCAGAAACACGGGTTAAAATGAACTGAGTATATTTGCTATTTAACTAAAGACACAAAAACCAAGAAATCCACACAAATATTTCTTCACCTAAAGACTCCTGTATTATTTCATTCTGTATTTCCTGTATTATTTCTGTATTTATAGAGTAATCCCCAAAACCAAGTTATCTAATAGGTGTTAACAAAATAATTTAGGTATGAGAAGAGACCCACCACTATCTTTAAATATCAAATTAAATGCTTTTTCAGTTTATAAATCATCACTGCCTCCATGCAAACTAAGAAAAATCTGACAGTTATTACCTTTTATAATCTTTTTCCTGTTATGCCTGAATTCAACCTCTAAATAAGCAATTTCAAAATTATCACCTCAGACCACCAGAGCCAGAATTACTTTGGAATGGGTTTGTTAACAATTCAGATCCCTGGGCCTCACCTTAAATCTAATAAATCAGAATTCAACACTCCCTATGTAACTCTAATGTGCAATGAAGTTTAAGAACCATTGTCCTATATGACAGCAAGACAAGGAATACCAGTAACACAAGGATCTAAACTAAGATAAACATTACTGGCATTTTAGGTCATCTAGCAGTTTCTTAAAAGTAGAATCCGAATTATTAATCTGAACTAATTGTACCAACCAGGCATTTTACATATTTAGTAATGAAAAACTCACACTGGATATTGAGAGATCATGAGCTAAAATACTTCAGAGGTGCTTCAATCTGAAAGTGTTTTCAAATAACAGTGATAGTAGCAAACACTTATTTGGCACTTACTATGTGCCACATACTGTTCTAAACACACTACACATATTCATACATTTCATTCTCCCAACAACCCTATGAGGTGTATATTATCCCCATTTTATAAGTAAGAAAAGTGAACTTAAGTAACTAGGCTAATATTAATGAGCCAGTAAATGGTAGAACTGAAATTTAAACCCAAGCAATCTGACTGTCAAAAGCCCCTGCTCTATAACACTGTACTATACTATCTGGCCTGGAAACTGACATTAATAAAAACAAACATGATCACTGCAAATGGAGGTGGCAAGTACATACCCATGAGAGTGCCAGCACTGGAAAGAGGAAGGCAGAAGAGGAAGCAAGAAACAGGAGTTAAGTTCATTTCCTGTTTCTTCACCCTGCAGACAACTACTGAATTTTATTGGGGAGAAAGAACACAAGAGAGAATAAGAATTGCTCTTCCCCTTTCTCTATAACCACAAATCTTCCATTTCTTAGGTTTCCTGACAGTTCAGCAATCTGTTGGAAACTGTGAGTCTCCTGTTAAGAGCACTGGTTCAGG